TGCTTTGAAGAGCATTTTTCGTTGGTGCACATCAGTGGCATAGCCAGGAGTTTGGCAAGGAGGACGGGGAGGAAAGGGTATGAAAATAATACACACTTACATATATAGAAACTTGAACGTACGTCGCAGAATGAGCAAAGGCGACACTTTTGAATATTCTTTCTGCAGATCAGTTGAGTTTTTATATCCGCACAAAAATAAAATTATAACAACGAAAATATAATTTTTATTTAAAATAATAGCATATTGTCTCTTAAAATTTTTTCTTTTAAAATCCATATTGTAACATTCATTAGATTGAATTTAGCGCTAAACAGGTAGCAATACTAATGAACAAATTTCAAAATAAAGATTTCCTCAATATGTTTCGTTTTGCGTCCATATTTTAATAATAGGTGATTAAATTTAATTAAGCTTTTAAAAAAGTGGCCTTCTTAAACATTTTTTGTTTGACTTGACATCATTTTGTAACGTTAAATCTAACTTTTTAATTTAATTTAAATTGACAATTGAATTGTTTAAAAATCAGTTAAAAATTTTCTGAAATATTAAGTTTTTAATTTTCCTGTAATATAAGTTTTCACGAAAAAATTTATATACCATATAAATGATAGCAAAAGGCGTCTGTATTTTTTCCTTTTTTTGCTTTTTACATGCAATAATTAAAAAAAAAATTTACCAAAGGTCTAATTTCGAACTTCGAAGGCCTATATCTCGATTTCGGAGGCTAATTTCGAAAAATGGAGAAATTACTTTTTTTTTACGTATGACTCAGTCTCTGAAAAAAAGTTGGTTTGGTCCAATACCCAGCCGAGTGCTGTACAGTGTTATATGTATATAATTTAGATCGCGTCGCTCCAACAGTCGCAATGACCGGGTGAGCAAAGCACTGGCGTACCAATGCAGAGATCCGGACTGGAAACCTCGGTTACCGATTTTTTTACTAGTTATACTCTTTATTCTTTTTTTTTTTATAAAATTTTCTTTTATTTATTAGATTTCATCGTCTTAAAAGAAAATTTTCTTTTTTAATTCAATTTAACTTTTAGAAACTTATTTGGTTTACATTTGTAAATTATATTAAATATTTATAAACGTATTTTTTTCTTTTCTTAATTATGTACATATTTTTTAATTCCCTTTTTTGTTTTAGCTTTTTTTTTGTTTTAATAAGAAATATATATTGTTTTGTTCCAGTTAATTTAAAGGATCTTTATTTACTTTTTTGTCTGTTTTTAATGTTATTTTCGGTTACTTTTTATATTTCCTTAAACAAAAAATGTTTTATTTCATTTAATTTTTAAAAATATTTTTTATTTGTCTTTGCTTTATTTTAATTTTTTCTTTTTTTTGATTTAATTTACTTTTATTTATTTGTTATTGTTTAAAAAGCAAAACATATATAGGTAATTGTTAATTTGATGTAATTAAAACAAAAAAACTTTGGGCCGTATGCATATAAATTTTAACGCTGATGGCGGCAAAAATATTTTGAAAATAGACACAGCTTTCTCGTTTGATATCCTTATAAAAATATTTCGTTAACTTGTTAATTAAATTGATTTTAACTTTGTGAAAAGTTGGCAACCCTCTGGAAAGATATTGACGAAATTCTGCTTTCCCAAACCTCTCTCGTTTGATATCTATATCAAAATGTTTCGTTAACTTGTTATTAAATTGATTGATTTTAAACTTTGAAAAAGGTGTACATTAGGACGGGTCAATTTGTATGTGAGACTTTTTCGGCTAGGCGCGTATAGCACAGAAGGATTCTACGTGTAATTCTAAGCAAACGTGCTGAAGAAACCCTGGGTCTAAAATCAATTTAGAGTTTGCCAAATCGCGAAAATATGTTTTTTAGCATTTTGCTGGAGTGTCGTAGAAATGTCCTTAAATTTTATATAAAAACCTGCTATAAGGGGTTTTTTGGTTTTAGGAATCCATTTCTGCACTTATCTTTTTCTTAAAATTCCCAACAGAGAACATATTCACATTTTCTTAGAAACCTATTTTCGAAATTTGGCAAACTCCGAATGATTCCTGCCAGGCTATACGCGCATAGTCCAAAAAAAAAATAAAAAATTGACCGGCCCTAGCGTACATAGAGACTTATTGGAGGAGAAGCTCGGCCAAAAACTTTGCGAAATTGCAAGCGCCAAATACCTAAATATTTTTTAATTTTTTTTTTATGTTATGTTAAATATGGTTGCAAAACTTGACTGATGACATTTTTTCGGCATTGAAAGAGAGTACCTACATATCTATCCACTTACATATATCTTACATGGCGTAAGTCATGGCTTGTAGTCGCTAAAGTTGGTAAAAGTAAAAGTTTTCCCACAAATGATTCACCGTCCAAGTTAAAGTTGGATCATGCAGATGTTCGCAACTTTTACTCTTGCCAATCTACGCTGACTAATAAACCACAAAAGCAAGTAAATTTGTAAGGCCATATGCCAAATGATAATACATACTAACTATACTTATATGTAAGTGAGCATATATCACACTACTTTTCCATACGTGCGTCAATGTTGACTCATTATAACCACCAAATAAGTGGCAGCTAACACATACATACATACTTGAACATAAGTTACCAAATAGATCCATACGCGTACTAATTGAATGCTAGTTTTTTTTATGATTCATGTGCATATGTACATACATACATTCATATATTAATATACTACATATGTATTTGCGAATATGTTGGGGGAAAAACGACTCATATCGGAGACACAAATCTACATATTTTGGGGTTTAATGAATTTTAAGTGTCATAACTTAAATTTCGATAGCGAACTCTGTTTTGGGGGTTTTGTATGTTACTGTTGTTTCTTTTTTATGGTTTATGACTGTATCTAACATGCAAAGATTTATTACTTTGATTGCTAGCTGTTAGGTAGTAAGTAACAGCTGCTGAATCCGTTAACATGAATGTATGCAATGCGCTGGTGCTACGCTGGAGTTCAGAATATCTAGCAATTTACATAACGACGAATACTTTAATAATAAATTAAAATTTCGAGCTACCAATCTCTCTCAAATTGACAGATGTGGCTCTTTAGTTTACAGATCCCGCGTGGCCTTACTTCCGAATATTTAAGCTAAGCTCAAAATGCTTACCGCAAAGGTAGATCGGTGGAGACGACAGCCTTGCACGCAGTTGTTGGGAATATCTCACAAACGCTCTATGCCATAGAGTTTTTGCGGCGGCAGCATTTCTCTAAGGCGTCTTTAATAATGTTAATGAAATCCATTTCTTATTCTTTGGATTGAAAATATATCGAGTTCAAGAACTATCAATTGCCCTTTTTCGATAGAAGTAAGGAAAACAATTACAACTAAGTTCCCCTCTGGAAGGGTTTTGATCTGTCCCCTGTTAAGAAACCTCTGCTTAATGAATTTCTGTTTCGCTCAGCTTCTAAACTTTAGATGCGCAGAGAGAGCTTTTTCTTTGCATGCGCCTATACAAAATGTATAGAAAGCTTAAAAGAGCTTTGCCCGCGGGAAAGGTAGTGCCCATCACAACCGATCTAAAGCCATTAATGTTGACTTAGGAAAGTTCACCTCGACAGTCAAAAGTAATAAAAACCTCACTTAGCGGCCTGTGGGTTAATCCATCTAAAACTGAACCTTTTCTTCTTATTTAAAATCATCTGGAAATCATAGGAAAGGAGTTGCGATTATCAGATCATGGCAGTGGACTTTGACCGAAACTTCGAAAACCATTTTCCCGACAGAAGTGACTGGGAAGTTAATAACGTTGTAAGCGATGATGAGACCGTGATCTTCGCAAATTGCTCCAAATTGAATAACAGAATGTAATATGGCATTTTCTCCTAAAAAATATCTTTGAGAAACGCAAAAAGACTCCCATCGAACTAGGAAAAACAAAAATATCATTTTGGTTTTTTGTGTTTCCGACAGGGTAGGGGAGTATTATGTATTGTATTCAGCGTCATTTTTCGTTCGAAGATGGCACAGCGCCGAAACCGGTTTTTCTCCAGAGCGAGTTGGAGTTGTCTTTGCCGGGAGCTCTCCATCAAAATTATGTTCAGGCTTCCGGACTTCTGCAGTGTCCTTCAGGCGGAAATAGCTGCTATCAAGGAAGAAGTGTACTCACTGCTAAAGAATGTGACGTCAGTTAGGCAGATTAGCATATACGCTGATAGCCAGGCGGCCATCAGGGCCCCAAACGCTATGATGGTGCGCTCGAAACTGGTAAGGGAATGTTTGGCCTCTATCAATCGCGTTGGAGTATTTTCCAATCAGGCTCATTTGGGTGCCGGGGTACAGTGACATCGCGAGAAACGGCGTGGTTGATAACCTGGCAAGAAAAGGCGCCATTGAATCCTTTTCAGCGGATATGGAGCTGCTGGAGACCCTGTGTCCTCATGCGGTTCATTCCTGGACGGTTGGGCCTCGTGAAGGCTAAGCAAGCTCTGGTATTCGTGCAGTAAGACGAGGAATCTCAAAAGATATTTTTTTTGCTTTGACTATTTGGTAATACGCTATTGTTCTTTCTCGCAGCATTTGGGATTGGTTCAGGGAGAAGGTCTCTGAGTAGTTTTTTGCATTCAAACGTAGAATTTGATTTAGGAAACTCTGAGTTGTTGGGGTAAAAAGTCGCCAGATGCCAGATACAAATTATTCTCTCGATGATATTTCACTGCGCGAAGAGGACGAATGTTGGTCGGCTCGTTAAACCGCTACCTAGGCCGTGGAATGGGGGTTTTTAGGTGGCGACGCTTCTATGTAACTACATATGTATATGTGTATGTATGTATATGATTTGCAACCCAGCTATCAACTGTGCGGTACATTTTTATATTTTTGTGTGTGTGTGTTTATTTTTGTTCTGTACCGCAAAGTGGAAGGCGTTGCCAATTTCTTTGTTGTGTTCCATTTTTATTGATAGCGCAGTTTAATATCTACCATTTCATTTTTTACTACTATTTTCCATATTCGTTTGCTTTATTGTATTTTCGTTTCTTTGTAGATTTCCGTCATAAAAGAATTAACCCACCACCAGCGCCAACCAATACGCCCACATAAAGCGCACACACCTACATACATACATAGACGCAACAGTGAACTGCATGTGTGGTAGTTACAACGACAGCAACAACTACAACAATAAAGTCAACAATTTGTTAAACAACGATAGCGAATGTGAAAGACTAACAAAAAATACAAAAAAAAAATAAAAAATAAAACAAACAGAGAAAAACACTAATAATAACGCGGCGGCAACAAATATTAACGACAACGTACATCATAAAAAAGTAGCAACAAAAATACATAGTGTCAACGACTACTAAAACAGTAATAGCAAAGAAAAGCGAATAAACAAACAAAAACAACCAACAACAACAACAAGTACGAATTGAGTACGCAAAGAAATAAAGTGTCAAAGCGAAGCGATTTAAATCATTTCGCCGCCACCAACACCACCACCACTTTGACATACGCCTTCAACTCAAATCATTCTCCGTTCTCAATTCCTCATTCATTATCAGCGCCGCTGCCCCACAGTCCGCCCACAGTACGATACGTGAGTTAGAGCGCGCGCGTGAGTAGCAGTAAACGTGTGTGCTGACAGTTACGAGTATAAACCGTTATCGCCCGCAATTACGCCGTTACACACAACAACTATTGAGAAGTAGCACCAATACGCGCGCAGCAGCAGCAGCACAAATACCAACGCTTCACATTGCTGCCCCCACATCACCCACAGTGCAACCACCACCATTAGCGTGTGCGCTACGCCACCATCGCAGTAGTAAATAACTGAGCGCAGTGATAACTAATACGCTCGTAATTTTGACGACGCGCACTCAAAAAGCAGTACGCCGCGCGCGCTTGTCAGTTAGTTGATTTGTGCGCTGTACAGCCGCACATCACATGCCGTACGTCGCGCATTTTCACTAAGTTCTCCTACTTAGAAATTCTTGCGCTCCAGCGAGTAGTAGAACCTCAAATTGGCCGCGCTTGCCGCCCAACGAGCATACGATAATTGCAGTAGCGGGCGAAAAACAAACAAACGTACTTACAAATTCCATTTGGGAGCGCGAGCGTAAGGTTCGCCTAATCAGTAATTAGCTGACGAGTGCACAAATACCTAAGTGTAGCGCACTTATACAGCCACAAGCGCAAGTGCATACTATACACATTTTTTTTTTAATATTTATTGACGCGCTGCGCTGTCACCTCACCAATACACTAACAACCCAGCAGCAGCACCGACAGAGGCAAAGCCCTAAGCAACGACAAAATGTTCGCCGTAATGAGAATCGACAACGATGACTGCCGGTCGGATTTCCGTCGCAAGATGCGTCCAAAGTGTGAGTTTATTTGCAAATATTGCCAGCGGCGTTTTACAAAGCCCTACAATCTGATGATACACGAACGCACCCACAAATCGCCCGAGATAACGTATTCCTGCGAGGTTTGCGGCAAATATTTCAAGCAACGCGACAACCTGCGTCAACACAGGTGAGTGGACAAAAAAAAAAATAAAAATTTAAAATTTAAAATCCAAAATTTTCAAGTTCTATAATTAAAAAAAAAATTAAAAATTTGAATAAAGCAACCAGAAGTTCTTATAAAAATAAGTACCTATGTCAAAATATTTCTTCAGCGTAATAAAGTCAATAAGCAAGCGTTTCGTACTTAAAAAAAAGACACTAGAAATGTAATGACAGAACTATGATTGTGCTATGTAAAAAAAATTCAGCTTGAAAAGCTGTCTGCAGCCCTCAAGAAAAATGAAAAATTTCTATATCAAATGAAAATAAAATCTTCAGAAAATTTACAGCAACCGCAGCGTACTTTTTCAAGCAACAGTTATAATAAAAAATATTTCTTGTGATTTTTCTTAAGAACTGCATACAGCGCTTTAAGCACAATCACCGTTTTTTTTTTTAATTTTTAAAAAGTCAAATAAGGCAAGCTAATTGTAAGTATCGGCGGTACTTTGGCAAATCGCGTATCTTAGAGATCAGCACTTTACAGGAACGAGAAATCAACTCTTTGTTAATAACAAAAATTTTTGTTTGAAAAATTTTTGAACTGAATATTAAGATTACTTTATAGTCAATTAAGAATAAAATATAATGAAACATAGTATGTACATATTTTGAGGCCAAATGTGAATTTATTTCTATAGTGATTTCTGAAAGGTGGTTTTGCCAAAGTGCCGTCGTCGATATGCTCTAATTCTCAACTCCACTTTTTTAAGGTCGTTTGAAAGACAAAGCAATAATTTTTCACAGCTTCTAAATATACATAAATACAAGCCGTACAGCAAAACTTTAGTGTTAACACAAATATGTATGTGGACTTTTGCTTGACGTCTTATAAATACATACATATGTATGTATGCACTTAAATGCATATGTATGTATGTAAGTATGTAGAAAAGTGCGAAATTTATACAGAAAAATGTCGTGTGAAAATTTACTTGCTGAAAAGTAAATATAAGTAGATAGCAATCAAGCAAGTGCCAAGTCGCGTTCCATAAGTTTCCTTCTAAAAATTTACTGTGATTCTTATTTGACAACCTAAATAGTGATTTTGAGCTGTGAATTTATGAAATTCTCCTAAGTTTGTGCCTACATAAAATCTGTGCAAATAGTAATTTTCTATTGAAATCTATGTACTTAGCCAAAAGATTTTGAAGCGACTACTTTATATTTATCATTTGTATGCTTTACATACATACATACATACGCATGCACAATTGTATAAACATAGGCATATGTATGTATGTATTTGAATGTTCAAATAGATAAAAGTAAAAGCCTTTTCTTCCGCGTAGTCTTATACTTTTCACCGAAAAAATTCAGTCTTTTGTTTGTTTCTGGCTTGCTGTTTTAAATCGGCCGTTGCTTCTTAGAAAATGATGACAAGTTTTAAGTAGATAGACAACGAGACATTTGTACACATTTTGGACTAAAGTGGAACACCTGAAAATTTTACTAGTTACACATACATTTTTGTATTTCCTCAATGTACGTCCGCAAAAAATTCCCAGCCAAGGGGCCGTAACCAACTTCGGGACTCGTTAAGAAGTGTCAACTTGGAGTTGAGAGTGTTGTTTTGGATCGGTTTTTCAATTGCCTGTTTACGGCAGAAACGTAGTATGTACAGAAAAGTATCGAAAATGGTTGTGAAACGTATGCATTTTTGGCTGTCTTTCGTTCAATACGCTTTCTTCTGCACTTCACAGATGCTTTTTCATAGTTGGAAAAAAATAAGAAAGCGCCTGATGGCATTCTAACCCTGACGGCATTCCTGCTTTCAAAAAAAATAAAATAAAATTATTATAAACTTACTTTCCGGATATGAAAATGAATAACATTTGAAGTCGGTTTCGGGTACGAAAACCGCACTGGTTTTGAACGTTTTTTGGATACGAAAATAAACGAAAATTGTTGTCATTTTCGGTATGTTTCCGGATACGAAAACTGTACGAGACCGCACAGTCGGAAAAATTTACGTTTTTCTGTTGGCTGGGCGGGGTCGTCGTAACCACTCTGTCCTTAAGTATTTACCATATCAACTCCATCACAGCATTATTATTGCCCCCGCCAAACCCTCTCAGGGCTTCTGGTTTTATACTGTTTAACGCTCATTCAATTTCTAGAGGCGCTAAAAGGCAGCACTTCCTGAAGCTGAAAGAATTTTTGATAAAGATGACTAGTTACATACATATGTACATACATTAGACTGCATCACACCCCATAAAAAATGATACTGTATTTTCAAATCGGTCCAGCTCAGGCAATGTTAATATTTTCCCGAAATATTTTGGTGGAAGTCTTAAAATATAATAAATTTTGTAATCCCGGCGGAAAACTTCAAATTTTTTTGGTGATACAGTCTAATGTACATAGATATAACTTCTGAGAAAATTCATCTGCCCACTACTCTACATGAGTATAAATGAAAGGTCAATTCTCCTGCATCGAAGTTTCTTTACTAGAGGGCTGTAGTGCGGCACTCTGGGATATTGCAAATGAGAATGAATTTTTTTCTCTTTGTTTCACAAATTTATATGGTTTTGAGAATTGGGTATTTGGCAAAACTCCCATCGGGTATTTGATCCAGGTAAAATAGCTTCTCGCCTATGGAAACCAATTTTTTTTTATCCAGTACCTGCCGCTCGGGGTAATTAACATTTTACAATGGACAATTTACCGCTAACCCTCTCTGACATGGTGAGGTATCTGTGTTTGAGCTCGAGGAAAGGGTAAACAATGCGTCGAAATCATAACAGTGCTATGTATAGAAGGGCAAACGCAGCGGCCTGTCGCCTGTGGTGGTTTATTGGCTCTGTGAAACCACTGATGGATCGAAGTTGAATGGAAAGTTCGATGGGGGTGTTTTCTGCAAGGAACTTTCCATCAGCCTTATATTTAGGATCCTGATAACTGGAGTGTTTTTCAATTGGTTGTAGTCGCTTTAAGGAAGCAGTGCATTTAAATTTATTTGCAAATATATATCCATATACGCATTCTAATAGCCAGACGATCCCTGATGAAATGTTCGGTTAAGGAAGGGAGCTTTTCAGACGAAACAAACCAGATTTATCGTTACTAGCGAGAATTCGCACTGGTCATTGTCTGATTGAAATTCATATAGCAATGCTCAAAATCACCTTACGCCAATACTTCATTGCAACATCTGTTACTTAGCTGACCAGCTTTTGCGAGCTTAACGTTTAAGTCAGTCAGGATCAAAACTTATACCCGAGAAAAGCTGTTTAAAGCTTTCTATGTATTTTATTCTTAATAGCATAACAAATGATCTTTTATTTAGCCCTTTGCTTTAACTTTAATAACCTAACATAAGTTAACCTACTTTTTGACACAGGGAAACGCTCTTTTAAAGCCTTATATAGATTTCATATTAGTCACGCCCAAAGCATATTCCGTGGGAGGAGCTTTTGAAAGCTTTCTATAGATTTTATATCAGTCTCAATCGAAACATCCCGCGGAAGGAGCTTGTAGAGTTTTCTTTAGATAAATACTATAACAATCTCTAACAAATTATATCCTGCGGAAGTAGCATTTTAAAGTTTTCTATACATTGTATATAAACCATTGCTGGGCACTGCCTTGCCCGCGGGCAAAGCTCTTTTAAGCTTTCTATACATTTTTTTTTTATAAGCGCATGCAGAATAAAGCTCTCTCTGCCCATCGCTGATAGAAAAAATGCTCAGAGTAAAAGCTCTCTCCGATATTCAAAGCTCTATTCGGGCGCTATCTCTGTTTGTCAAATGACCGATTTAATAGTATTCAGATATACATAAAACTTGCAAGGTATTACTTAACTTAACCTGATTTTTCAGGTTTAAATGACAGCTATAAGAGTGCGGATGTAATCGAGAAAAATTTGTCTTTTCAAATATTACCTATATTGCAAGTACTTCGTTTGCATATTGACTTTCTGAGCTGAAATTTTTTGGACTTTTTTTTTGATTTTCAAACAAAGTACATACATATTTTTTATCTATTATATATGCAGTATATTTAGTATATCTATGTATGTATATGAGGTGTTTTGGTTTAAATTGTATTATTTATATTTCTTTGATTACATAATAGTATATATATATATATTTATATTTTAAAAGCATATTTAGTATGTACTTGTATGAAGCTATATAACTCAAGTATGGGTATTTTTATGATCTACATATCCAGCGCTAGCCACCAAAAAGATTTAAGCGATTTTTTTTTTCAAAATTTGAATTTTGATGCAGAAATGCATCTAGATGCTCTAGGAACATTTCTGCATCAAAAATATTTTTTTTTTTTTTAATTATATGTACTTACTTTATACAATAACTGATTGCAGTTTTGCTTGCTAGCTGGCTAGCTTTCTTAATCACCTAACTTGAGTTATTTAGTTTCGATCGCTTTAAAAAAATTTTTGTTTTGTATAAAATGATTTTTTATGCCTTTTACTAAATATCACTCTTCAATTTCGTTTTTTTCTATTACTTCTACTTGTAGATGTAGTCAATGTGTATGGCGATAAACAGCAAAAACGCCAGCTCAATTTTAAGCACTTCTCCTCTCATGCACTTAAATTAATGAAAAATAAATAAAAGAGAAAAACAAAAGCAAAAATAAATATTACACGAACGAAGACAATGAAATGAAAGCATAAATGTTGCACGCACGCACGCACGCACGCACCTACGTACTCTTACCGCTACAGTAATTTTCCTATACCTACATATAAATAAATACATATCTACTACATGCACTTTGCACAAATCCATACATACCTACATAAGGCAACAGCAAACAATTACATACCGCAAAATGGTACTTACATAGATAAATTGAAATTGAAAATCTGTAATAAAACGCTGCGCTACTCGCGCGAATGGCATGGCATTGAACGAACTGCATTTAGCGATCTTCCTGCATTGGCGCTCACTGTGTGGTCAATGGTGGTGAAAGGGTTAAAAGAAATTATTTGGTGTTTGGGTTTATTGACAGCACAGCTCAAATATGGAAGGATGTTTTTTTACTTGANATAAAACGCTGCGCTACTCGCGCGAATGGCATGGCATTGAACGAACTGCATTTAGCGATCTTCCTGCATTGGCGCTCACTGTGTGCTCAATGGTGGTGAAAGGGTTAAAAGAAATTATTTGGTGTTTGGGTTTATTGACAGCACAACTCAAATATGGAAGGATGTTTTTTTACTTGTACAACCAATTCAAAAGGAGGCAGCAGCCTGTAAATATTTGTATATGGCAAGCAGCGCTTATAACTTTACCGCAATTTCTTGGGTGAGTGGTGAGTGGTGAGTGGTAAGGAGCAATTGGTGTATGTATAAGCGCACAAACATTTCCACCAAACATTTTGCACTCTTTGATAATTGCACACACACACATATATGAACATACATACATACATGCATACACATATGGCACTTCATTCGCAATTACGCAACTGTATATACTCGTTAACATAAAAAAAAAAGCTCACTCACGATTTTGCATTTGCATTCCATCTCCTTCATTGTGTACACAGATTGTTGTATACAAGACGCAAGGTTGCTTAGAATGCGCTAAAAAATTCAAATTGCATGCACAAATCTATGCACTTGAAAATTCGCATCAATCACAATTTCATGAGCAGAAAAATTAAATTGAAATCAGTAAATTGAAAAATATTTGGTTTTTGTTTATTTTGCATTTTCCTAGAAATATGCATCAGGATACCTGTGGACGCATGTACTAAAATAAAGCAAAAACAAAAAGACATTGACTAAGCTGAAAAGCAAAAAAAATGAAGCAGCAAGTATTTATAAAAATTTTAAAAGTAAACAAAAAATAACTGCAACTTAATTTAAAAAAAAAAACTATCCCAACGCCTTAGCCCCCTTTCAAACACGTTAAGTTTTCGTAGGCGAAGGCGGCGAGTAGAGAGAGAGAGAGAAAGAGTACAGTTACCGCCAAACCGTCATTGAGAAATTGAGTAAAGAAGCGCGTAAACTTGAATTCAATAAAAGTTGACGCTTGTGAAAGTTAATAGCAACACACCAAACAGAAAGAGAAAACAGTGCTTGCATTCAGGCAATTGATTCGTGAAAACGCCGACTAAGAAACGCTTCACACTCAATGTCCAACTGATAAATAGCAGCTGCGTAAAATGCAAAAATATAGAAGAGCTTAAAAATGATTCACAATCGTAAAACTTTCACTAAAAAATTTCTTGACACCTGCAAGCCAAAAAGGGATTTTAAGGCAACAAAAAACCCTTTTCTTTCCCAATTGCGATGCCAAACAGACCAGTTACTCGTATGCTTGGTGCACCGCCGAAAAAAAGTGCAATTAAGCTTTTGACTTTTTGTGCTTTTCAAAATCAAGCCACGCACCATAGCCGCAAGTAAAATAAAAAAAAGCGCGATCAAGGAAGTAAAAGAAGCAGCGCAGCCAGCAAATCGATGTAGTTCAGCTCGAGAAAGGAGAAAAGGAGAGTAAAAAAGTTGCTACATACCAACCACCAAACCACCAGCGCGCATGCGTCATCCGTGAGCAAGCGATAATCACAATCCCCCACACCACAGCCCTCCCACGCAATATACCACCAACCACAATGTGAAGCAAATGCTGCATCTGCGTTTTTAGTGCTTGCAAACCGCAAAAGGTGCTGCTTAACAGCGTCTTCAAGCAACAGCACAGTTGTGTCGGAGTCTACTTCGTACGAGTATTTATTCGTAGTGTTCAAAAAGCCGTAGCAACCAACAAATTCAAAGGCGAGAGTCTACAACAAAGCACGTATCCAGTTCTTTAGGTACTCCGGCGCTCACTGGTGTTCCTTCAACTATATATGTATATTTGTATGTAAACTATTGCTACTGCGCTAAATTTCAAACTTTTTTTTCGCTTCAAAATTTTTTTTTTTAATAATTTTTTAAAGTTCGTTTAAAAATAATGTTTTGTTAAAATTTATCTAAAATTGTCTTTTCTTGTTAAACGAGCCGGCTTGCGCGCATCTATTTTCTTCCTAATTACATATTTAAGCGTTTGTTTATTTTGTGTCTAATTTTCAAGAAAAACAAAAACATAATATTAATTTAATAAAGTATTGTATTTTATCGCTGTTTATCGCATTAAGTTTTTAATATACAAAATAAAAACTTGAAAATTACAAAAAAAAATAAATTACACAAAATTTGCACTATTTGAGTAAAAAATAATAATTATATAAATATGCATACATACACACATGTATGTATATCTATAGTACATATATATGTATATATGTATGTATTGTAATAACTATTGAATATATGTATGTATGTATTAGCTTGCGCCCTCCTACTTGCCGACTTGTCCTGCATTCCACGCGATTCTTTTGAATTGTTTCCACGTTTTAAGACTTATCTCGTGGAATAAACGAGTATTATAGTAACGAAATAAAATATTGATAAAATATAAACATACATACATACATACAATTATGCGCACATAAGCATAAACAATAATTAAGTTAAATGCAGGAGAAACAAAACTAAAAAAAAAAAAAAAAAAAAAAAAAAATGAAAAGCAAAATGCGAAAAGTGAAATTGTGTGACGTGAACGCAAATATGCTTACCAATGTTGCAATAAGATTGTACATGTTTTGCGTACATTTATTATTATCTATTATTTGCATTTTTATTTGAATTTCTTTATTTATGCTATGTATTATTTTACTTATGTATGTTTGTAATCATATAACTATTATGCATTACATTGGTCTACCAATTACATTACATACGAATAAAGAAATTTAATTATATATATTTAATGTTTTTGAATTAATTGATAATTAAATGCAAACTGTCAGTTGAATGAATTCCTTAATTAAATATAATTAATAAATAATATATCATTAATTAATAAAAAAAATAAATAAAAATAAATTGCTGTTTTAATTGACGATGTTGTGGAAGAGTAGTAAGTATTTAGTAATTGAAGCACAATCGAGCAGAAGTTTGGCCAATGAAAAAATTGTTTTTAAAAGCAAAAAAGGTTTGTATAGTAAAAAGTCTTAGTTTAATTTGAAACGTCTAGAAAGAGTCCTCCTTGTCCTCCCTTCTTATAGGCCAAGAATAGTAGTCGTACAGGCAGGCCCGTTGAGGGGGCCAGGCTTTTTACGGGGCTCGAAATATCATAAGCATAACTTGTTATAATTTTTTTTTAAATGTAATTGCTCCTTCGTTATAGGCTTTCATTATAAATATATTCCCATTCGTGCTGATTGTTTCTGACTCTATAAATTAAATTCAAAGATCATATTCTTTTAAATTAATACAATTTATGTAAAGCGGCCGACGAGTTTTTAATACGGGGCCGGAGTTTTCTCTCGACAGCTTTGCTTAAAGGGCAATAAAAATTATAAGAAACAAAAGGGAAAAATTTATGTAAAAAAAAAGTTAAAATAAGATAAAAAAATAAATGCAATTAAAAAAGTTTTTCTTTTAAAAACAATAAAGCCTAAAAAAATAATTGTTAAATAAAAAGAAAAAAACGATATCTAAATATTAAAAGAAAAAATAAAAAAGGCAAAATTTTAATTAAAAATAAAAGTTTCTCAGAAGTAAATGAAATTAAATTTTTCTTTAAAAACAATATAACTTAAAAACAAAAAGAAAATTTATTTTAAAAGAAAAAAACAATTAAATCTAACAACAAAAAAGAAAAATTAAAAAAGAAAAAAAATTTATAATAATAATCAATGAAATTTAAAAAATGTTTTCTTTTAAGAACAATAAAATCTAAAAACAAAAGGAAAATTTAGTTTAAAATAAAAAAAAAATAAAATAAAAAAGAAAAAACAATTAATTCTAAACAACAAAAGAGTAAAATTAAAAAGGAAAAAAATAATAATAATTAAATAAAGGAAAAACACAATAAGTTGCTGAAAAATAAATAAATGAAATAAAATATTAAGATTTTTTAAACAACAATAAACACAAAAGGAAAAAAATAAAAAACTAAGAAAAAATAAAACAAAATAAAAGAAAAATATAAAAATTACAAGTAAAGAAGTACTAATTCGGGCGAAACCGATCTTTATATACCCGGCGCCGGTATTAAATATCGTTGTTTCAACTTTCTCTGAACTACCTTTACATGATAATTAGGGGTGTTTACCCGATTTCCAACGTTTTCGGTAATATTCAGAGTTCCACTTAATGATATAATTGAACTTAGTTAGGTACAAATCGATTAAGTGGTTACCGAGGTACACCTTTGTAGTTTCGCAGTTTTCGTGTTTCCGTTATATGGCAGATGGGTTGTCGCCCGATTTCAAAGATTATCAACTTTCAGATTTCTTAGCTAGACCCTACTCAAGCGTCGTACCGAGTGTGGTAAGGATTGATAAAGCGGCTACTGCGATACAGCATTACGTCATAAGTGGGCGGGGTCACGCCCATTTTCCAAAAATTGCATAACAATATTTTTTTTTTTACCATTTACCATTTTCTCCTCCACATCCTAGTTTTCAACAATTGCCATCTAATATTTACTGAATTATCGCAGTTTTTGCATTTTTTGAAAATACCGTTACCTTACCAATACCATTCTACCTTGGATAAAGGGCAACCTACATACCAAATTTGGTTAAGATATCTCAATTTTTGCTCGAGTTATCGTGTACACGGACAGACGGACATGGCTTAATCGATTTCTCTCTTCATTCTAATCATTTGTGTATACATTTGTCCATATCTATCTCGATTCGTTTTGCCTGTTACAAACAACCGTTATGTGAACAAAGTTATAATACCCTTGTGCACAAGTGCGCACGGGTATAAAAATCAAATAAAATAATAATAAATACATAAAGAAATAAAATTTAACTAAAACAATACAAAAATTCCTCCGCCCGAGAATTGGAACGTCGGATCTCACGAATGGCACGCCAGTGCTTTGCTAACTCGGCCATAGCGACTGTTGATTTAAAAAATAAAAGCCACTGACTGACTTATAAATAAAAGTCTTCAATAACTGTTATCTAGGATATATAATATAAAAATTAAAAATAAATGTTATTTGCAGATTATTTAGATACAAATTAAAAGTAAATGTTATTTTGGATTTACAAAATAAAAATCAGAAATAACTGTTATTTTAGGAGTAATTAAATAAAATTAAAAAAAGAAATGTAAATGTCTTCTTCTTCGTGCCCGAAGCGATCCGGACTTTTTTTCTGGACAGAAATGTGCACGAAGTCAATTTTAAATTTGGTAAATATACAAAAATGGAAAATAGCACTAAGTTTCACAAATGTAGCAATTTGATAATACGATTAGCCATATAAGATGAATACGCATAAAATCCTTGTTTAGAGCTGATTTGTTGATTCCGGGCACGAAATGTGGTTTTTTTTTGCATTCCCCACCAGCATAGTATGACCACTCACCCGGATTAAGGCGACCCTACTTTGGGCGGCTGGATAATTGAGTGCACTCTATAAGGGTGTTTGATGAGAACGAATGGCTATCTGGAGCATTGAAGACAGATTGACTGTCCGAAAGTATGGAGATTTTTATTCTGGCATATTGCGTGTTCATTAAGACGTGGGCTGTCTCCTGTATAGCGGCTAGTTCTCCCCGAACGCGGGATTTTTAAGGGGCCCACGAACTGTTTAGTGGTAAAAAACGATTTCGTTGCTTTGTTGATAATAGAGTTGAGCTGTGACTTCCAGGCGAGTTTCCTATCCAGGGTTATGCCTAGAAATTAGACCTCTTCCCTTAGGGGAATCACAGTCCCATTTGTGTTTAGATCTGGTGAAACGTATGATTGCAGTAAAGGCACAGTCTTACCGAATATAATCAATGTTAATCCAATGACATTCAAAACTCCTAATGTTGCTAAGAAAATCGTGAATTGCGCACTGCTAAATTTATTCTTGCCAACAGTAAAATAGAAAGTGTGAATTGATTAGTTCGCGCAGTTGGTTCAGTCAAGCCCCTGGGACCCACAGTGGCAATTCGCACTTTCGCAAAAATGCGTCGAAGTCTATATCAAATTTTATCCAGTAAGAGCGTAAATTTGCATCGGAATTTGTACGTATGTATGTATGTAAGTATGTGCATGTGAATTGGTGCGCATGGAATGGGCCAACAAAAAGCTATCGGCTACGTAATAAAGCAGTTTCCAAATGCGAAACGAATGAATTTGGCTACCGTTTGCGCATTGCGCTGTAACAAACGATACGCATGCGCACACAAAATCACATACACGCACGAATAC